TTCAAAAAGGTTTTAATTTAAATACTTAAGTAGGGTCCTATCATAATTGATCTGATGCCAAGAAACTTCACATAATAATTAATATCACTCTAATGCAATTCGCAGACTATTTTATAGTGTAAATATTAACTTGTAGAGACTTTGAAATGCAACTATAAGTAGTTGTGTAGTAATTTAGAATTTCGTGGTAAGCCACGAAATTCTAAATTCAATACCCGAATAAAGTAACAATTGCACTTACAGAAACAGTAATTATTGACAAGCAAAACTCGACGTTACTTCCGTAGACATACTTGACTGAAATGTTCACTTTCGCTCACAAAATGATAAAGCCGTGTGGTTACCGCATGGTATATGCAAACTTCGTCGCCTGAACTTTTTTCTTGCACCGCCAACGCCACCTGCTAGAGTGAGGCTTAATCATGTAAAAACACATCAGATCACACACAGCAACTGCATATGCAGTAGAACAGGACCATTTATATAAAATCATATTTTTTTTACCCAACTGTAGAAAGGGTATAGTTTTTACAACTGTCAATAAGATGGGGGGTCCAAAAAACAACTACTATGTAGTTTGTCTAACATTTCGAGGCTAATCGAAGCATTGAAACTAAATTCCCATAGCTAAACTACGATAATCTATATTCAACAGTAAGTCAACAGCATTATTTATTACACAAGTTTATTAATTTGCAAACACAACAATAACAAGTGGCTTGACCTGCGGCCATCTTGGAACTGGGTCAACACCTTACAGCTCTATGTAAACAGTACTCCGTGGCCCCATGATCCGCCATATTTATGAAAATGTATGTGCATAGTAATTAGTGAAGGCAGTTGATGCCGCGATTGAGTGACCTGTTGGCCACTGTCTTATGAGTAGCTTGTTTTTCTGTGTAAAAACAATGTATTTGACGTGGTTGAACTAGAAAATTTAATTTAAACAAATAGTTAATTAAATTGTATAATACTGTAAGTAGTGTTGGTAATTCTTTTTCAGACATTTTTGTTTTAGCCAAGGACTGTTTTTCAACGTCATTGGTTTTAGCTATAAGTTTTTTTAAAAACGTCCCACACTAGCATTTTCTCCTGTGTCGTGGGTGTGTTTGAAAATATACAAGTTGACATACACATCACACCCAGACCCGTAAAAACAATTTGTGGATCACATAAAGAATTGTTGGGTGCGGAAATCAAACCCGCGACACGTTGCGTGGCCACCTCATACACCTACAAAAACGAAACTCTTATAGACCCTATAAAAGTTGGTCCAACTAAAGAAACAAAACGTCGTATAAAACTCTTTGCTTATTTCTACAAGCGATAATATTATCATCTTATACACTGAATTATATGGTCTTATAGATATCTCCCCCACCATAAATACGGTTATAACAATCAATTTGCGCATGCTACTAACAATATGGGGACCACAACGTCCCTGCATCCTTGACCCAACCAACTTTAGGTCATTATGCATACAAAATAGTTTCCACAATACCATAGTACTCAGAGGCTCTCATATTTGAAGTTTGCCGAGAATTATCTCCTATATCCCGATATTAGAACACCATAACAATGAAAGCCATTGTTCAGGCTATAAAGAGCCAGTTACCGACATTGGATGCGCCCGATGTGTCGAAGTTTCCCTATAACAACACCGTATTAGACATTAACTTGGATTCTTAAACACTGGAATGGAACTGTAAATAAAACTAAAACTATATTTTGTTTATTTATCCCATACGTAGTAGATTTCGTTATTGCTTTTCAGGCTCGTCTTTTGCCTTATAATGTAGATGATAGACTCCAAGCACTATTTAAAATAATTTATTTGTTTAACCTATGTACATTGAAATTAGTGACTTATATTTGATTCTTATGATTTCCTTATATTATTTTTCCAAAGTTTATATTAAAATGCAATTTACCTTATTTACAAAACGCTGCAAAAACATTAAGAATCGTATCAAAATAATTTACGAACTGTGCTTGATTCCCAGAAGAATATTGCGGGTACTTCTCAATAGGTTTAAAGTTTCAAGATGGTCATAACTTGGGCTTATTTGAGCAGACTCCTTTTGAAGCAGTTATCGGAATAAGTACTTTAAGTTTTATTGAACAGAGCGAGCGCTGGGAGAGTCCCTATTTTATTTATTTATTATGTTCACTAAAGTAGTTAGTGGAGTTGTCGTTATTTTTTAATACTCTTAAAGTGTTCATTGGAATCGCCCATTCTATGGTTTGTTATATTTTCTGATAGATGGTGTAAGAAGAACCATTCATAAATGGTTGTTTTAGGTCCCACTTGAAGACTCCAGACCGACATTTTAGGTGATAGAATAATGCTGTAAATGAATCTAAAACGTCTTTATCATTTCGCATTTAAAAGTGAAAAATAAATTCTGTTCCACGCTTCTGCAATCTTTGGATATTTATACAAAATGAGGCCATAGATATTGAGTGTAAGCAGGGCGTTTACACATAATTTCATACTACTAGCTCTAATTCCGCGTCATTTCTGATCGGTAACTGTTATGGTTTTGATTAAATCCATTCTGCTTCTATTGTATTGATCAAGTTGTTTCACTAACTATATCGTTAGCTAAGTGGGTAAATGCTGCTGCCAATTATCTTTCCTGTTTTGAAGTGTAGGATAAAGTATTACTGGTTCTATTCTTTTCTTTTTCTATAAAAACATTGCCCCAACCTAGGATTTTCTCCTGAGTCGTGGGTGCGTTTACGAACATACAAGTTCACATACACATGACACCTTGACGTGGAACATCAATTTGTGGATCACACCAAGAGTTGTACCGTTCGGGAATCGAACCCGCTACACGTAGCACGGCAGCCAGTTGCGCCAACCGTGCAGTCAGTTATCACTACATAGTATAAATCAAAGTCTATCCGCCGTCTGTCTGTCCCTTAGATGTATGCTTAGATCTTTGAAACTACGGAACGGATTTTGATGCGGTTTTTGTTAATAGATAGAGTGATTCTTAAGGAAGGTTTATATATATAATACATGCGTATTGCACCTGTGCGAAGCCGGGGCGGGTCGCTAGTTCATAATATTATTATTATTAGTTTTCATTTGTTAGACTAACGTATCATTCAAATGAGGAGAGGCGCAAGCTAGCAGCCCTACAAGTAAGTCAAAGTGTTTGTTGGATCCTCGATTTTATGAAATTGTTATTAACTTTATTAGTTTAGTATTTTGCCTATAGTAAAGAATAGGATCACCTGTTTCCTTTGGGCCCATAACATTGCAATCGAAAACTCGGTGGCTCATTTAATGTATATCTATACCTATTTTTAGGAAAATAAAAGGCGTCAAATAAATTTAAATCATAATACCAGGTAGTACAGTTTCAAACTTTAATGGAGTTTTTAAATGAAGTTAGTGTTGTTACCTCTTTCCACGTGAGCTAGTTTCAGAATGGTGTTTATGCATCTCTTGGGGTGCACCGTGAGAGTGTGTAGTACTTTTCTTAATTAGACATAAATAAGTTCGGGTATGTCCTATTCTTTGCTGGAGAAATTAAATTATACTCGCTCTTTTACGCTAATGTTTACTTATTTGTGACAATAATAACTTTGCGTTTTAAATACTAAATGAAAAAAAACATAATGACTATAATTTAATGAAAACTAAAAGTGAAAATTAAAATAACTTAAAATAAATGAATAGGTATCTTAAAATGGAGACTCCGGGTCAACCCTGAAAAGGAGAGACCTCCACATCAGTCTTAAAATGAATTCTTATTTCAGTATATTAGTATCTACAATCTGTGACCTTTCGGATATTATATCAATTACAATAAAACTCAATATACAAAAGAAAATAATTTATTAAATGAAAACAATAATTTAACGTAGATACTAAAAGTAACTATTTCAAAGTAAAAATAATTTAAACTTAGAGGCAGTTTAATACGGACGTATTAGTTTTAGGGCCGATTCTTCAATCATCGGTTAATTCGTTACTGTAGAATAAAATTGACATTTGACATATAACAGTGTTTAGTATGGAAGAATTGTCAAATATTCAAAGTTATTTCTCAGTTAATCTAGCGTTGGAATAATCGGCCCTTAATAAGTTAAAATGAATTCTAATTTTAATATAACATGAAGAAAGATAGTGACACAGACTGTTAGTGTAGAATGATAAGAATATTTGAAAAAGTTTAATAAATAAAAGTAAGACAAAGATAGCATAAAAAAATGGAAAGGATCTAATCAAAGAAATAATTATTTCATAAACTATGTTTAAAAAATCCGACTTCAACCCCTCTTTTTTCGAAGTCCGTTTTTTTATATTAGACGGGACTGACGTTTGACCACTATCTAGCGTGGTGGTAAGCTATGATGTGGCCTACGATGGAGCACGTCGACCCATAAGCAACCTATTTACTCGGGCCTTGAGGACACCCTTTCAGGAAATACAGGCTCTGGCAAAGAATTCCACTCCTTAGCAGTATGCACAAGGAAGCTTGATGCGAAGCGCTTCGTGCGTGTGGGTGGGACATCTACTATGAATCGGTGATGCTTCGCCAAATGTGGAACGATGATGGAAAATACTATGAGGAATCAAGTTGTGCAATTCCCCAACACACTCACCGAAATTTATCTGGTAGAAGACCGTTGATAATTGTACTAAAACCTTTTCCTAAGTGTATCAAATACTTTTCTGAAAACTGTATAAAAATCGGTTCAGACAATAGCGAGATTATTGCGCACAAACATATATACATACATTACATATAGGTCAAATTAAAAACTCCTTGTTTTGAAGTCGGATAAAAAGACGTCTTACAATAATATTTTGTTCACATTCCATGGCACTATTGCTTACAATGTACTTAGTAATTAACATAACATAAAAAAGTAATCAATATGGTCGCTTCTGAAAACATTTTTATCTCAATAATATTATAAAACTCATTGGTTCATCATAGGCTAATTCAAATATCCAAAAAAAATTTATTGTCAGTGAAGTACAATCAAAAAACAGTCCAGACATTAAAAATCTAAGGTTGAGTCTTGCTAAACAACCAATTAAACCCATTGCTGACATCAGCAATATTAGGTAGAGAATCCTGAGGTTGGAACGGCTCTGGTTCTCCAGGCTCATAGCTATACCCAACAGTGTTGTACTCCTGGGGAGGACCGTACATCATTGAGGAGCCAGAAGGACCCGATTGGTTCTTCATGTAGTAATTGAGGAGTACTCCCCCCAAATAGAAGACTTTTTGGAAAAACGCCACCAGGAAGAAGAATGATGCCACTTTTACTACTGCCAGCTTTGATAGCACTACAAGCGCTGCGATTGCTGAAACAAATAGAAATTTCAATTAGATATTATATCGGATAAGTAAATATTCAAATGTCAATATAGATGTTTGATTCTAGGTACGACTGCCTCCGTGGCCGAGTAGTCGCAAGTGCGACTGCTGGACAAGGGGTCTCGTGTTCAATAAAAAAAAATCATAGTAGTAGTACGGAGTCTGGAATTGTGCTCGGCATATGGCAATAGGCTCACCGCCCTACCATTGCACAGTGGCATTAGGTGCCGTAATGTGCACCTCGGCCTACCTCTTCGGGGATAAAAGGCGTGGTGTAATGGTATGTTGATTCTAGGTACGATTAGTGCCATAAGTAAGAAATCCTTATAGATATTCAATTTTGTCAAAAAGTTCATATAAGATTAAGAATATACCTTGGTAAAGACTATATAACTCATAGACAAAATTCTGTCAGACAGAAGTCATTATTGTACGCGGACGAATTCGCGGGCAACAGCTAGTTTACAATAATCCAAAGATTATGAATTGATATCAATTATACATTTTAGCTGTTAACGAACTCAACTCAAACCAACAAGAACAACACTTATATCAAAACCAGTACCTAAATACCTAATTGAAATACATTTTCCTTAACCATTAACAATTTACTTCTATAATTCTCAAAGCAAATTATAATCATAAACTACTTTCAAAAAATCGACTTCAACCCCCTTTTTTACCTCAATTAAAAAACATGTAATTACATTTATACAATATGAAGACAGCGCCATCTACTGTCATTTATCAGAAAACGTTTTTGTTAAAAAAGTAATTACACAAAATTTATCAATATAAGTAGGTAATATATAAAGATCGAAAGAAGAGGTTTTTAAGATCTGAAATAATCTAGACATAAATAAAATTAATATTAACTATTACTAATTGAAAATATATTATACAATTTAAAATATACAATTACACTTAAATTTTTAAAGTAACATCTAATGTTTCAAAAGAATAATTTGTAACCGTTAGCACTTAGTATTATGTAGAAAGTACCTAAATAAATTACGTTCTAATTGCATTGTCAGGACTAAGTAAATCTTTGGCGGTCCGCAAATTGCTGTAACAGTTTTATTTAATTATTTTCCGTCAGGAAATATATGAAATTGTGTCAGCCACTGAATCTACTAGTGGATAGCGAGGTACCCTAAATAAGGTTAGGTCTCTGTTATTAAATTAGGTAGCAGGTCTTGATTGTTAATAAGTTTTGAGACAAGAAATGTAATGAAATATGTTTCCTGGAAATTGAATTGTTTTGCACTAAAACTAGGGTTTATTATTTGAGTGACACTAATATTTTAGATGACTGCCTCTTTGGCCGAGTGGTCGCAATTTCGACTGCCGAGCAAGGGTTCTCGGGTTCGATTCCCGGGTCGGGCAAAGTATTACTGGGTTTTTAAAAGATACTCAGTAGTAGCACGGAGACTGGAAATGTGCCCGGTATATGGCAATAGGCTCACCCCCTATTACGTGGGACTCATAACATAAATAGTGAAAAGTGGGTGTTACATTGTACAGTGGCTTTAAGTGCCGAAATGTGCACCTCTGCTTACCCCTTCGGGTATAAAAAGGCGTGATGTTATGTTATGTTAATACTTTAGAAAATAGAGTTCAAAAAAAAATTACAAACTTTTTAACCGACTTCAAATAAAGAGGTTCTCAGTTTATCGCGATTATCTCGCGATTGTTGAACCGATTTCGGTGCGGTTTTCAGAAAGTGTTTATTACACTTAGGAGAAGGTTTTATTATTAATTAACCGACTTCAAAAAAGAGGGGTTTGAAATCGGTTTTTGAAACGTAGTTTATAAAAAAAATATTCAGAATTGAATCAAAACCTTTTATTACCAACTAGCTTCTGTCCGCGACTTCGTACGCGCAATCCTGATTTCTCCCGTTCCTATAAGATTTTTAGGATTTTTTCTATCATAAGAACCTTCTCCTGACAATAACAAACACAACAAAAAAAATCAGCCAAATCGGTCTAGCCGTTCTCAAGTTATGGCGTGACAACGGGAAACGGTTTTCATTTTTATATATAGAGATCAGATTTTAATTAAATCCTGAAACAATTTCAGTAATTTACTACAGGAAAATAAACTGACTTTCACAAAGGTAAATACAAATTAACTGTTTAAATAAACGAATAACTATCGTTAATTAAAAATAAGTACATAGTTACACACAGCTATTCGACACAAAACGAAGCCAATATTTTCAACTAACATGATTGGAAAAACGGAAGCCATTACCTTTCAAAATACAACTTAAACTTGGTTGAATAGGATTGGTTTTCCAGTAACAAGGCTATCCGGAAAACAGAACGTCTATAAATTGTATTGACGAGATGAAATGTCAACCCGAATGTAGTTTCCATTACGGAAATTGTATCAATTCCAAGTTATCTCCAAGCTTGGGATCTATCTTAATCTTGATTAAACCTTGTACTTATTTGTTACCGTAATAGTTTAGATAATTGGTGGATAACCGCAGTTAAGGTATGGTAATGTTAGTTCAGTTTTGGGACATTTGTTCTAAGTTGGATTGGAGAGAGAACCGTTTGTTGAACGAGCACGAGTTAAGAATATAATCAAAATACTCTACTAGGTATTCTTAACTAAATATTAAGAAAACTGCTTTGACAGTGGTTGGATAGTAATCAAAGTAGAAGTAAAGCATCTCGTTATGAATTTAAATGAAAAGAAGTTCTACGCAAATAGAAAAATAATTATGTTCATTGCTTCAAAGTACTGCTTTAAATTATTTTTACTTGATTCCTCCGTCATTTCAAAAGATTTAGTATTCATTTACACTGGTACCTTTCTCTCACAAAAACACGGAAGCATGATTTACGAGCTCATTTTATGTTCCAATGAACATCGTCATAACTCCCAGAAATTCGGACTACAAAAGATCTCTTTGATTTGTTCGGTTGTAAAAACACTCCAATTAAATTAACTACTCACCCAAAAGTCTTAAGGTTCCTTTCTTTTTCTTCGCCCTCGCTTCCTCCGGTAATTGTTCATTGCTTTCCAAACAATAACAACACACTAATAACGTCAAAATTACGATCACTTTCTTCATCATTCTGAGAGCGGAAAATTGATTTTTAATCTGTATTTAAATTGAAAATTATTTAATCTGTGTTGGCGCGCTTTCTGACAGTTGACAGTTCGGTTTTTTAATCCAAAATTATGGAGCAACGAAATCGATATCAGTGTTCCCCAAGTTCTGTTAAAAACTTTGCGGGTAAATATAAAATGTTTGAGTTTTAAAAAGTTTTGGCGTGTTAGAAATATATTTTACACTTTTCCCGAACACCGAACTGTGCGGTTTGCGTTCCCGTAAATAAATAAGTATTGGTTAGGTGTGTGGCATTCGTAAATTCTTTTCTCGAAGAAAGTTTGTTCATTGTTTCCATAACTTAAAGGAAACTGTGTCGAGTTTTCCTTTCTGTGACTAATTTACATGTGAGGAAATAATTATTATGTTCTTTTGTGTAACTTTCGCGTTCCATACGTTTTGCTTGTATTTAAATTTTTACGTTTGTTTCAAAAAATTTCACCAAAATTTACATTTGAATGGCAGTTATTGAATATTAGGAATGAGTTATGGGTACTTACTCGCGGAATACGTGTGTTTTACATTCTCTGTTATATCTTGGTGAGTCGTGAGAGGACGCGGTGTGCATTAATATTTTAAATTTAATTCAAGCCCATCTTAATTATAAATTCATGCATATTTTGAAGGCATTCTGAACCAGCCAAGCCTGTTTTATTGGACAACATTGGCACGCTTGAGACTAATGCTGACGTCTTACGTCATTGTTTCATTCAGGACAATGGTCTTGCTACAAGATCACTGTCTTTCATGAAATATACAGAAATCTGCCAATAAACAATGATTATTATTTATGTAGGTACCTAAATAAAAAAAACCGTCTGAGTAATATCCTATCATTCAAACACATCATTCGAACAATAAGATAAACATTTATTTGTGAACATAAGTAGCTTTGAGTAGAAACATTAGAACTAAAGCGATTCCATTTAAATGTAATCTATTCAGATCTTACCATCAAAGCGAATGGAAATGTTAAGGAAAGTCTTGTATTTAACCTTTTTATGTAAGCCGCACTTTTCTTGGTAAGTTCTTATAATTCGTATACTATTTATGAATAAGAAGATGTAAAAATCAGAAACTGAAGAAAGTGTACACCCTAACGGTGGAAAATGGCTAAAGATAAAGATTTAAATGCCTTATCGGTGTAGCAGTTGCGAATGCCACTGTAGTTCATAATTCCTTTTAATGTTCTCAGCAGTAGAAATAATTCTTAATGTAATCCAGATTTTTTAAAGTTCTGGAAAGACCAGAAAATTCTAAAACAATTTGACATTTTTAAATCATTCGAACTAAATTAAGGCTAGTTTTTTTTTTCTTTCTGCACTATGGCAATCTGTCTAAAACAATAAGCCACTTATTTGGTTGGAACTACATGTCCTGGTTATATATAATGGTTTTCTTAGAGGGGCAATCAGTTGCTGAACTATCCAGCAAACACTCCTTTTGGCTCAGTTAACAAATCTTTGGGCGAGTCTGGGAATGTCTTGTCTCTTTAGTCGGTTATAATGTAGTCCACCCTCTCCACTTAAGGCCTGTGCGAGTTCGTTTGTATGGGTTGCTAATCTCTACTGGTATTTTTGGCTAGCCTTGCCTTAAATTAAGGGTTGTAATGAAAAAGATCAAACCGCGGCGAAGTCCAGCAACTATTCCACAATACCCTTGACTCAAGAACAGTTAAAATCAATACATAAATTCAACCACTGGCTCACCAATAACCTCAAACCTAAAATTAAGTCTGAATTTTGCTAGCAACCGCCACTGTTCGCTTAAAACGCTCTCAAATTTCGTCTGTCAGTCGCTATTTAGATTTAGTACGGTCATTAGCGCTCGTCTTTGTGGCTCGTGGCTAAACAACCTATCAACAAGTGTTGATTTACATTTTAGTTTAGTTTTAGTTAATTCTGTTCTTACCGTTTTGGATTTTAGACAGCCACGTGTAACGTAGGTTGGGTTGTAACTTTGTTGGATGTAACCAAATACTTGCTTAAAAATTTTGTGATTATTGAATTGTATCTACATGTTAAAACTAAGTGTTGTAACGAAATAATAAATTGTAAGGTGGACGATAATTGGTCTTCAATGGCTTAATCTTCTCAAACTGTTGCTTTTAATCACATGTCAAAGTCAAAATCATTTATTTCAATTAGACCAAGATATTTCAATAAGGCACTTTTGAACGTAAATGTCAGACTGTCGGTCAGTCCTCTAGTGAAGCTATTTGCTTGTTCCAAAGTGTAGATTCCTATGGAGAAGAACTAGCAAGAAACTCCATGCGTTCCCATCTGTCTGTATCACGTTGGCTTTAATACCATTTCACGCTCAATCATACTTCGCGTTTGTGCACGAATAAATACACAATTCGAACTGCTAAATGTCATAAAATACAATTTATTTACTTAATATAAATTCTGGATAAGCACACAGCTATTTGCTAACTACCAATCCGCGTGCAAATAATGAACGCAACAATTTCGTTGAAATGAAACCCTCTGCAAGTCTGCATTTAAAACGCAGCTCGAAGCTTAGCGAGGCGATATTACCAGCACAGCTAATAGAAAGCATAAATTATGTAAGCGTCGCAGCCAGTGATGGGGAAACAACCCGGGAAATTTGGCACCAGAGAGTCCGGGATGTAGCTAAATGCAACACTGGTGTACTTTACGACTGCCTCGGTGACACTTTTTGTTCACATTTGTGTTAAGTTATAAAAATAACATATAAAAAAATAATGAAGATTTAGGTTTTTTATTTCAATATCAAGACACAATACAATGCCATGATTACAACAGTAATATTGTAATATGTCAATATAATGGTTATTTACTAATAGCCAAATTCTAAAACAAACAAATAAAACTATTTTGCTACCTTTCGCACCAATTTCTGCCATCAAATGAGGAAAACCTTACATTGCGATAAACAATAACTGTTTCTCTAGAACTCAAGCAAAATAAAGCTAATTAATAACAATATATTATCAAAGCGAGGCTAATTATACAAAGCATAAATTATGTAAACGTAGCGTCCTCAACTCCTCGTAATCCCAACTACTGCAACACTCCGAGAATTCCGGGAACGTCGTGTCCGTATTTGAGTTACTGTATGAAAACTCAAATACATGTTTAACTAGATAAGAAATCACGGTACAGACTCAAAACGGTATTTAAATCAAAGCCTGTGTATTTTGCCAACTCCTTATTTTTGTGTAACAAGGATTCTGTTCCTAATTACAGTTTAAAGCTATTACTTTAATAACAACAAATTGATTTCCATGTCGTGGTGGCCCGGAGGTTTAAGACGCCCACTTCTCATGCATGAGGCTGCGGGTTCGAAACCTACGAACGGCAAGTACCAATGTGATTTTTTCCGAGGTATATGTACTTTCTAAGATTATTTAGACACCACTGACAAACGATGAAGGAAAAACATTGTGAGGAAACCTAGACTTATAATTTTTAATTATAAGTTTGAAATCGCCAACTCGCAGTGAGCAAGTGTGGTGATTAATGCTCAAACCTTCTCCGTGTGAGAAAAGGCATTTATAGGCTCTTGATGATGATGATGAAATTGATTTCTTAATCAAAGACATGTTAACATTTATATCATTAATATCAACTTTTACTTTGAATAAGCATTTCGCTAAGAACTCTCAATTTAAACAACTATTTCAATAAATACTTAAACTGTCAAACACCAAGCGGTCACCGGTGACCGCGACCTATTGTTCTTTAATTGTGTCTATAAAACCGGTACTCGACGAGTTAAACAATGACCCAAACATTTATCAATAAATCCCAGGACAGTATCCCGCGGTATCCCACCACTACGGCCAGAGCAAAGCTTCCAGATTTTTATTGAATTTTACCTTATTTCAAGCTCATTCCGTTCATTGCGAACAGCCCTGATTTCCAGTTAACTATTTTAAAGTGTAATATTTTAACCGGTTACGAAAGAGGCACTCGTTGTTTTATTTTTTTAATACAATTCTTTTTTCGTTTTGTTTTGCTGGGTGATTGTGTTTAGTGAATTAATGTTTGCTGTTTAAAGTTATATTAGGGATGCTACCTTACAAATTCTAAAATTAGGTATTCGTTTGGTCTCATTGTTCAGTGAGACTGATTTGATTTCCGCATCAGCCTGATTAACACAAATAGGTATGTTAATACTTAGAATTATTATAGGTTTTCTCCTTGTCACATAAAACCCTTATGTTTAAGTTGACCTGTTGTCTTATAAAGTAGGACTTTATGGTGGTATGGTACTAAACTACGTGCCTGTGTCATCGGTGCGTTTACAAACATACTATTTCACATACACATGACACCCAAACCCGGAACAACAATTTGCAATCACACAAAATGTATTTCCGTATGGGAATCAAAACCGCTACACGTTGCGCGGCAGGCGGTTACCCAGCCACTGCATCAACCGTGCAGTCAAATTGTGTATTTTTAGAATTCATGAATAGATTTCTTTTCAAAACAAAACACAAGTACAATAGTGAGCAGTATCATGGTGCACGCACACACAACGTTGCCTCTCATTACGAATTCAACACCGTCCTCAACACTTGTGCTGAACTCTGAATAATTTACACAAAGCACACGTACACTGTACATTCATAAATTACATTCGTAGTACTTTCTACACAAATATGTGTGTAATATTGCATTTCACACACCTTTGACCTACAATGTAAGCAGACGTAAGCTTTGATAATATTATGGAAAATTGTCTTATTGTTGTATCTATAGAACAATAGTTTTTAATTTCTAAATATAGTACTTTTCCATTTTAAACACAAGACCGATATAGTCTTGATTTTACACAGGACATTATTGGATCGATATAATAATATGTCTAACAGCATCATAAGTAACAACTCCACAATGAACATCAACAGTTATTGAAGTTTACAAATACTTTTCTCTTTAACTGAGTTTATGTTATTTTAAGGACTGCCTCGTTGCCCGAGTGCTCGTAAGTGCGACTGCTGGGCAAGGGGTCTTGAGTTCGATTCCCGGGTCGGGCAAAGTATTAACACGTTGAACGCCATGGGGGTCACCGGTGACCGGCGTTAGCGGAGGATTTACCTTCAACAGTTTTTTATTGACAGTGAAAGTCTTAATGTGTTTTTAAAAAAATTCTGGGACTCATAACTTAAATAGTGAAAAGTGGGTGTTACATTGTACAGTGGCATATTGTGTACTTCAACC